ACACACACACACACACACACACACACACACACACACACACACACACATATATATCAAAGCGACCAAATTTTCCAGCAAGTTTCAACACACCACTAAAGCCCCTTTTCCATTAGTAACGGTAGAGCACGGTTCGACACGACTTGCCACATTTACAAGGCCTTTCCACTAGCACTTATTTGTGGAACCAGTGACTTTTTCCAGTTCATTTTTCTCTGGGGTTCCAACCAAAATGTGATGTCAGAACACTGTCAGTCACTGATTGGTCATGGGGTGGAGTCACTGGTTGTTTGAGAAACTTTCACAACAACCCGATCTGCCATTTGCAATAACTCGAACTCGAGAAGGGACTGGACCTATTTTTAACATTTTAAAAACATTAATGACAACACCGTGGTCTAATGCTGAAGTACAGGCTTTTTTTGTGCTTGATGGCCGACGACAAAATTCAGAGTGAGCAAGATGGAGTTCTGCCAGTCCCCCCGGTCCTCTCCACTGGAGTCTTGGTGCCCCCTTAAGGCTCCAGTATACTTGCGTGAACCTTTTTCCGCGTGGACTCGATGTGCACTGTCCGCAGAGGGTTAAGACTTCATACTCAAGCGTCCACCCTGAACGGCTGCAGACCAGCTCTGCAGGCAAAGGGCGTTTACTTTCAGGACAAATTGAGGTTGCCAATTGGTAATTTGCTGACATGTCTACTGGATTGATTGACAAGTTACAAAAATAAAAATCAAGAGCTGGCAACCCCAGCCACAGCGGTGTTCTGTGTTTATATGTTGTTAATAAAAAGTTCTAAAAAATAGGGAGTGCTAGCCCTGAAGCCCACCAGGAAATCTCCAGACCCTCCCGCAGCCATGCTGGACCAGATTTTAATTTGTTTGTGACAAATTCCTTACTTTCTCACCATTTCAGTCATGGCGTCAACAGAAGAGGAGGAAGAGATTGCTTGTCTTTTGGCAAAAAAAAAAAAAAAAAGAAAAGGCCGGGCAGGGCGTCATCTCCCCAGCTCTGAGCTCCGCTGGTCACTGTGGATGATCCTCAGTGCTGCCAACCCGTAGGAGCATGTGAGGCCTAGACTCAGGCAGACCCGGCCTCGTGTGCTCCTGTGGGCTCCAAGCTCTGCTGGTCACCACAGAGAATCATAAGAGCTGCCAACACGCAGGCGCATGCAAGGCCAGTGTCTGGGCCCCAGCCTCGCACGCTCCTGTGGGTTCCGAGCTGAACTCGCCCACTAGAACCATCACTGAAAGTGTAATGGAAACGCAAATCATACCATGCCGAGCCAAACCGTGCTGTACTGGTACTAATGGTACTAATGGAAAAGAGGCATAATAGAATTAAACTCAGCTGTATGAAATAATTTTATGTTTTATCTGACAAGGAACAAGCCCATTAACAGCCATCAACAATAAATACAGACATAAATAAGCCAGAGTAAGCAGGACGGCTCATGTTCACTTGTGGTCCCTGGTCAATTTGTTTCAGTTATCCAGAGGAAATCTAAGTCATGTTTCTTGGATTCAAACTTTTCCTTTTAATTCTAACTTGCTTAAACAAGCCTCACAGAACCAAAGGAGGCCTGGAGCAAAACTCAGCTGTGTTGACATAAAGTACCACCATGGTGGTGCTCCACATACTTACGTATGTAAAGAAATGATCTAAGATAAACGATGTGTTCATGGTTTCTATGAACATACGTACATGAGGAATGAAGAAGCGCTATCCTGACCATGACCTCTAAACCTGAGGTCATCTCACAAAATCAGAATTAGAATCAGCTTTATTGTCATTGCACAGAAGCACAACAAAATTACATTTCAGACAGCCATCCAAAGAGAAAACAAACATGGGTAGATGGTGATGTCTGAGGCCGCAACCTCGTGGGAAGCACTGCCCTTTCGTTTAGATAAGGAAAAGAGAAAACAAGAAGAAAGAGTAGGTTAAAAAAATCACATCTCACACTGTGTCCTTGACGGAACACAGTGTGAGGTTGCAAAATAAACCTCAGCACAAGAAAAAGCAACATATTGGTGACATAAAGACATATGCATGTGGAGTGAGTGAAGGTAAGGGTCCCAGCACAGGCCACCCAAGTGAGCGATGCAACCAGTGGCGCCATTGCATCTATCTAGGTTACTGTATCGGGGGTGGGGGGGGTGGGGTTTGTTAAGATGAAGGGGGCCAGCAAAGGCAGAGATTTTGAGGGGAAGTAGTCCATGATCACTGTCCAGAAAGCCCCCCTCCCCCCCCCCCCCAGTGGCTCAGTGTTTATCAGTCAGCTCGATAGAGCTCTGATACAGGTTTTCAGTCCTTGGGGAAGGGGAGGGGGGCAGCCGAGAAACATAGTCCCTCCAGTCTGTCCTGGGTCTTCCTCTGGGTCTCCTCCCGGTGGGACATGTCCGGAATACCTCACCAGGGAGGTGTCCAGGAGGCATTCTAAACAGATGCCCGAGCCACCTCAACTGGCTCCTCTCGACGTGGAGAAGCAGCAGCTCTACTCTGAGTCCCTCCCAGATGATCAAGCTTCTCACCCTATCTCTAAGGGAGACACCAGACACCCTGCAGAGAAAACTCATTTCGGCCACTTGTATCCGAGATCTTCTTTCAGTCACAACCCAAAGCTGATGACCATAGATGAGGGTAGGAACGTAGATCGATAGGTAAATTGAGAGTTACGCCTTTTCACTCAGCTCTCTTTTCACCACGACAGACCTGTACAGCGCCCGCTTCACTGCAGATGTTGCACCTATCTGCCTATCAATCTCACGTTCCATTTTTCCCTCATTCGTGAACAAGACCCCAAGATACTTGAACTCCTCCACTTGGAGCAGGACCTCTTCCCTGACCCGGAGAGGGCACTCTACCCTTTTCCGGCTCAAGACCATGGCCTCGGATTTGGACGAACTGATCTTCATCCCGGCCGCGTCGCACTCGGCTGCGAATCGCTCCAGCAAAAGCTCACCGGGAACAAGCCCGACTTACTGCTGGCAATGCAGACCAGGCTCTGACACCGGTCATACAAGGACCTAAAAGCCCGTATCAAAGGGCCCGGTACCCCATACTCCCAGAGTACCTCCCACAGGGTTCCCTGAGGGACACAGTTGAACGCCTTCTCCAAGTCCACAAAGCACATGCAGACCGGTTGGGCAAACTCCCACACACCCTCCAGGACCCTGCTGAGAATGTAGAGCTGGTCCAGTGTTCCACGACCAGGACGAAAACCGCACTGCTCCTCCTGAATCCGAGGTTTGACTATCCGACAGACCCTCCTCTCCAGAACCCCCGAATAGACCTTACCAGGGAGGCTTAACAGCGTGATCCCCCTGTAGTTGGAACACACTCTACAGTCCCCCTTTTTGAATAGGGGGACCACCACCCCGGCCTGCCAATCCAGGGGAATTTCCCCCAATGTCCACGCAATATTGCAGAGTCGCGTAATCCAACACAACCCTACAACATCCAGAGCCTTAAGGAACTCCGGGTGAATCTCATCCAACCCTGGGGCCCTGCCACCGAGGAGCTTTTTAACCACCTCGGTGACCTCAGCACCAGAGATTGGAGGGCCCGACCCAGAGTCCCCAGGCTCCGCTTCCTCAGTGGAAGACGTGCTGGTGGGATTGCAGAGGTCTTCAAATTTGCCTCTGCTTCCTCTGGATGCACCTCCAGTTCTGTTCACGTTACATTCTTTAACCTTCACACCTGTAAATATCACACTGATGCTGTGCAAGAATGTAGCAAAAAATCACAGAGAAAATTTATTTAACTTGTCAAATCTATAAATCTGAACCTAATCAAACAGGAGGTGCTCCACAGAATTCTAAAAGAGAATATAAAATTGTAAAATGGTAAATGGACTGTACTTATATAACACCTTCCTATTTTATCCAAATACTCAAAGCTCTTTACAACAATCTGTGCCCTCATTTACCCATTCATACAGCGCTCTACTAGATCTGTAAAAAGACTAATCAGTGCTTTAGATCACATTCATACACTGAAGGGACACACATCAGAGGCAATGAGGGGTTCAACATCTTGCCCAGGGACACTTTGGCATGTGACTGCTGGTAGATTCAAACCCCCAACTCTCTCATTGGAGGACGACTGCTCTAACCCCTAATAATAGCTGATAATAATCTGATATTTAAAACCTAATTCATGCATTGCAGCCATACTTATTCAGACTCTTAACTAGAAGTTAAATGAGATTTGTTGTGTTGAATATTCTAAGAGGGAGCAGTTGGTGTGTCACGGTTCTGCACACTGAAACAGAACCGGGGTCATAAAACCAGCTGAGGCTCTCCCTGAAACACAGAGCAGTCACATCAGCACTCAAGAAAAGCAAGAAAACTTTCTGCAAGAAAACTTTCCTCGGGATCTGTAACAGCAGGAACAAACCTTGTCCAATAAATCGTCATTGGGGGTGGCTGCGGTGCTGTGGTAGGACAGCTAACTTGGGATCAGAGTCAGAGGTTCAACTCCTCACCATTCCCACATGTCGTGGTGGCCATGAGCAAGATCCTCATTCCCTCACTGCTCCCCGGGCATTTATACAGCTGCCCGCTGCTCCACCTGAGAGTTTCTCAGGTGTGATGAGTCAAATGCACACATTGTGCCATTGTATGGGGACGTACAGCGATGGCAACATATATTTCTTTTATTGTTCTTTCTTTAAAACCACACCAAACATAAATCATGATGAGTTCAACTGATTGTTAAAAGTCAATCTGAGCCAGAAAAAGTTTCCAGCTTGCAATCCTTACCAAGTCCTCCAGCGACCACCATCCGTCCTCGCAGCAGAGCAGTAGCAAAGTCAGCTCTCTTTGTTTTCAAAACCACCATCTCCTCTGACTTTAGCCAGGTGCCTGAAATGAATAAGGACACAACAGAAGACAGCTGGAGCTAAGAAACTCGAGCATGAAAGGTCAGAAAGCACCTGAGATAAATTCCTAAGGCAACAGAATCCACCTTCAACCACACAGGACTCTGCTGTTGTCAGTGTCCTGGTCATGCAAGGCACACAAATTCACACACACACACACACACACACACACACACACACACGCACGCACGCACGCACGCACGCACGCACGCACGCACGCACACACACCAGGCAAGAACATGTATAGTATCATAATTTCCAGACTATAAACTACTACTTTTGTCACATGCTTTGAATCCCACAGCTTATACAATGCTGCAGCTAATTCATGTTTTTTTTTTGACAGGCTAATAAGCTTCATGCGGCCAAAACATTTAGCCTCATCACTCCTGGGCTCTCAAATAGCTGCCCAATACATGTCTGTCTTGAAGAGTGGGTCCTCGTGACTCAACGAGACTACATGTAAAAATAAAGGTTAAAAGGCAAACTGGCGCGGTGCACAAGAGGAAGAGGAATACAGCGATCAATGACTTCCTGGTAGGCTACTGTATTTTTTTAACCAGCTGCGTTACCGGCATTGTTCAGAAAAAAAATAAATTCTGTACATATTTGTGTATGTTATCAGTATGTATTGTAGCATTCTGCTGTGGTTGACTGCTGGTCACATGGCCTCAGGGAGGGATTATGTGTAAAATTTATGTTCATTGTGTACTGGTCAGCAGCCCCCTGCTGACCCCTCATCTACTCACGTCACTGCTCCTCTTGCCATAGTTTCTGCCCCTCATGCCATTGTTTGTTTTGCCTATCACCCATCCTCCAGCTCAAGCCTGCTCCCTTCACTCCATGCCATGCCTCCCTTTTCTCACAGCAATCAGCCCTGATTCTACGCACCTGTTCAGCTCATCTAGTTCACCTGCTCTGCACCCTTTATAAGCTCCATTCTCACACTCCACCAGTGCTGAATTATTAAACCTCTCATGGTCACTGATGGTGAAGCCTTTAATCACAGTATCTTGTTTCATGCCTTGACCCCTCACCTGTACCACGGATTCCTCGTCTTGCCTGCACCTCTTCGGATTTGGACTATTTGCTCTGACCACGGTAAACAACTCTGCTTTCTCTCCACAACTATGATTACAGCTTACGACTTGACTCTTGTTTCTGCTCTGTAGAGATGGGTCGACGAGGCATCATGAAGCGTTTCAACACATTACCAAACTGTATCGACACTGTCACTGAATACTGACACCTGCTGGAACTTAAAGATCCCTACAGGCAACCTAGTTGACAGACTCAACTGACACTGATTTGATGACTTTCTATATAAAATAATATAAATTAAGTTATTGTATTTTATATTATTTCATATTTTCATTTAAGTTTAAAATATATTTGATATTTTTAAATAGTCAATAAATAATGTGAACATGTATCATAACGTGAAAATATAAGTGAACGTGCTGTGAATGAGGATGTTTGTGGAATGGGATTGCTTTTTTTTTTTTTTTTTTTTTTTTTTTTTAAACAAATATTTATTTAAAAAAAGTAATAAGTTGAGGGGCTGGCAGTCCTTCAGGATGAAATTCAGCAGAGCCTCATCCAGCATCTGCCTCCTAGAAACTTGATGGTTAGAAATGAGATAAAGAACAAATTAATAGGAATTATCAATAAAGCATCTGAGTAAGTTGTAGAATGGTTGTATACCTGAGTTTAACCTGGATGTATCTGATACTTCATTCTCATGCCTGGCCCTATAATGCAGTGATCTATTAATTTTTTTATTTTTTTTTTCAAAAGAGCCATATTGACAGAGCAAAGTCAAGGGGAGAGCTGCGACATCACCCCAAGTCACTCAAAGAAAAAAAAACTGAACAACCCACCTATGAACATAAAGAAACCCAGCCAGCAAATTATCTGTTTAAACAAAATGTACATTAGTCCTGAGATGAGAAGCTGTGGAGCATGTCCTTGACTTTCTTCATGTTGTAATTTGTTGTTGCAGCCACAGTGAGACATTCATGATGAGCATGGGTCAGTGGGTTTCTCTGTTTTTGATAGTGTTCATGGTTGAAAATGTTCACTCACAGGTGTAAACATTCAACTTTTATTACCCCAGTCCCATGAAGAAAACAAGTCAACAATAACAATGAAAACCAAAGTCCATGCTCATCAATGAATATGTTGTAATATGTACGGATGAAGATGCCCCCTTCACATTTCCACCTGCCCCCTCCCTCATGTAGCCATGCCTAGAACCGGCCCTCTAAATGGCAAATGGACTGTACTTATATAGCACCTTTCTATCTTATTTCAAGATACTCAAAGCTCTTTACAACAATCTGTGCCTCGTTTACCCATTCATACAGCTCTATACTAGATCTCTACAAAGCTAATTGAACAAATAATTCTAAAGAGACTAATCAGAGTGTCGGACAAAATTAAAATGTTATCATTTAAAACTGTTTTCAAACTTATCCTGATGCATGCTAGTGTTTTCAGACTTGTTACTAGTTTAAACTCCAATCGTGTGAACTGAAGAACAGCCAGAGTCCTGTTTTCAGCTTCATGTGCGTGTGCAGTAAGACCAAGACCTTGGGTTTTTAAACAACCACGATGTTGTTCAGATCTGACCGCGCTACTTCGGCTATCCCGTTTCTGTAATCAAACCGTCTGTTTAGTAACCTTTTGTGTGACTCCGCTGCGTCGGAGATAATCTATCTGTTTTGTGCCTGTTCCACTCTTCCTCCTCCAAAATAAAACACGAGCTCTCTAGTCGGACCGGCGGACTTCACCTTGACGTTTGGTCAGGTCATGAACTCCCACCTCTGCAGAGGCGCTCAACAAATTCTTACTCTGTCTTGTGTGTGAATTCTTTACAAAAGTGTTACGAGGGAAAATCCTTACATTCTTGCCGAGCCAGCCAGGAGCTCCCCGCATCTGTTCACCGGTGGGGCTCGACAAGGACGCACTGAAAGGTCAGCAATAGACCGCCCGAAAGCCCTGGACACTGATTGTGTCACAGGCCAGCGGGATAGGTTCACCTCAAGACATCGGGGACAGACATCGAGCTCCGACCCATCTCTCACACAAGGCGAGTATGAAACTTTTCTTTTTTTTATAAGCAAAGTTGCTATACAAGTGAGGTTGCTTGCTCAAAACAATGCTGAGACCCTGTTAAAGTGAAGCTGTTTTGCCCATGCAATCAAGACCTAATTAAAAAGTGAAAAAGAAAACGGTTTAAGCCAAGACCCAGCAAAGTTAAAAATGGTGAGATTGTTTGTTTAAACAGACCAACAACTTGTTTTGAAGTGAGATCGGTTTACGCATACAATTAAGACCTACAGAAGTGAGGTGTGAGAAGTCAAGACCTGATTTAAACAGTGAGACGGGCACCGAGACCTTATTTGGACATCTGGTGAGGCGAACACTAATGCCATTTTAATATAGAATGAGTCAAGACCTCCTCTGAAACAAGTGAGATTTCTAGGGGTTAAGAAACTTACAAACAAGCAACGTGAAAAAGTGAGATTTTTCACAGGTTACAAGCACAAGTGAGACCTTTTCTGTTCTGAATCAATATCTTGAAGAAAAAAGTGAGACTTCAGTCGAAATCCTTTTTTAAAGATTTTTGATTGAGACTCATAAGTTGGCATTATACTTAAAGGAAAGAAAAAAATAGTAGAGCTCTGATACGATCGTTTTCTTGTTTGCTGTGCGCATGCGTGTGTTATTTATGAATGCATGGAGGATTTGTGGGTAAAAATCGCTGATTTCTTGGATACCTGACGGTGACAACGAAAAGTTTGAGGCGGTCTTACACAAAAATCTTCATTAGGCTTTTTTTTTAGGTGTGGTGGATCACTGGATCTAAAAGTTCTTTCACTCTCGGGAATAGAACCCTAAGCAAAGACCTGAGTTGACCCCTCTGGTCAACCTAGAAGCCTGGTCATTTGGGGAGTGTTTGAGCGCCCTCAAGGCATTTTCTGTTGATACCACCCACAACCCTATATTAATAAGGAAGACCATACTGTGTATATATTTTTTTTCTCTTTCTCTCCCTTATTTTAAATAACTAATAACGATGGGAGGAATATTAAGCAAAATAGTCCCCTCTGAAATAACAGAAGATAAGACAGACAAACTATGGTATCCTGGCTGAAGTAAAACAAATGGCAGCAGAGGATGTTGCAGAACTGAGGCTGAGATATGAACCAAAATTTAAAATCCAGTGGAATTGATTATAACGACAACCCAGGCTCGGCTTATCAACAACAACAACAACTTAAGTATGGCCTGTTGCGGGCTTTTAGACCGGAAATCACCAATTGGATTAACAAATATTACATTGAAGTGGACACTTGTCATGTGTCCACTCTGATGCAATGGGCAGAAGACTCAGAGGAAATGGCTAAAAATAACCCCAGCCAACCTAAGCCCAGCACCGACACATTCCACATGCTCGATGCTACAGACACAGAAACCCCCTACACAAATGAACACCCACACGGACTCCAATTTTACTCACGATGCAGAGAAAGGTTTGGACCACAACAAAACGGAACCAGAGGTTCTTACCGGTTACACAGACCATGGTGTACCCTGCAATTTGGTGGCCCACCGAGATACGCTGGACCACTCGAAAAACGACAACCGCATCCGCCCTTGTCATCACCTTGCCTGACTGTTTAGCTAAACGTTAGCTACACAGGAAGTGCAACTCGCGTAGTACGCATGCGCGTAACTGGAGATACAGGACCACAGCGCCAACGAACGTCACTGTAGGCCAAAAGTTTAACGTTTGGGTTTAAACAGAGGTCAGTCAAGGGCAAAATACTGCTTGGCTAAGACTTGACATTTAATTTAAAGATTTGATTTAAAGATTTGATTAAAAAAAAAACGCTTAAAAGACACTAAGAGATTTACAACAGCAGTTGAATGGAATTTTTGAACGACCCACGAAAGGAGCATTTGTTCTTTATGGGT